TGATTGATTGATTGATTGATTGATTGATTGATTGATTGATTGATTGATTGATTGATTGATTGATTGATTGATTGAGGTACACTTAGACTCCAAATTGAGCCCAGAAAGCTTCAGCTATGTGATTCCAAACTAACAATCCTCACAGTTGTCTCACTCTCAAACACCTCTGTCAGGATGCTGACTCTCACTGTATCTTCATGTATTTACTCTTCCTCTGAAACTTTCTCCAGGAGACGTTTACTGCTGCTGAAAGAACAGCATGTTCAGTGTGCACCTTTCACTTCCCAGCACAATTACATAACAACATGAACCAGATCAGCGGTGGAACCGGCATGAATTAGTAATCTGGTTCAAAGTTACAGCAATCAGCTTCACACATTGACTGTGACATTTATTCTAAGTTTAGATCACAATTAGCATATGATATAAACAGCAGCAGGTCTGGAGAGCGTTTAGAAGATTATTTTATGTGGTTTCCTATGAAATATCTGGGACAATTAGAGAGAGGGAGTTGATATTTTTAATTAAACTTCTGTTATATATACCAGACTGCTTGACATGCTATTTCATGGGATTATAGTGTTTGTCTACAGAAAAGTGTTTGTCCCTGTTGGTTTAGGAGCATAATGTGTATTTTTGTTCTCATAAAGTAAAAACAACAAAAATATATAATTTATTTTTCAAATTACACAAACACCAAGATGTTTTCTAAAACCCAACAATCCTGTAAAAGATGAAAAACAGATCGATCAGCTTATACATATGCTAATTGTCTTCAAAGATTTTTAAGAAGGGAAGGAAAGCAAAAAAAATTTAAAATCCCAAAAGACTTCCAGTGACTGAATACATTTAACAAACACTGGCTTCTCCTGAATTTRCTCTTTGTTCTTACACAGCAGCAGTTAACTGGTGGAAACCCTCGAAACAAACACACACTCATGTATAAATCATAGACGATGTTGCATTATTCATCCGTTCATTTCTACAGGGTCGCTTTTATCCCCTCTCCCTCATATTCTCTACGGTTAATTTCAGCACCGACATCAGAGTTGTTGCAGTTTCAAACATAATAGTCTCAAGTTCTACATACAGTATGTATGTGTGTTTGCACACGTATATATATATACATATTTTGACATTAGATCACSCTTTTGAASATATTTTGCCTGATCCATACAGGAGATAAAATGCTGTTTTAGGTTAAGCTTAGATTTAGGACTAAGGTGTGAACTGAAGATGGGGTAGGACTGTACTGGAAGGGGTCAGGATTAGGCTGTAAAAATGAATTAAAGTCAAYGCAGGTCCACACAAAAATAATAAAACCCTATGTGTGTGTGCGTGTGTGTGTGGGTGACAAATTAATGGTATTTCTGCATTGTAAGGTCCGGCCCTGGTTGGGTTTGTTTTGAGCAGAGTCGCCTCAATGTGGGCGGGGCTTATCATATCAAAAACATGCAAATCTTATTTTGTTTTATTTGTGACTTAACAATAATTGGTATAATGTATCTGACCAACCAGCAGTGTGACGCTGAAGACACGACGGCAGGACGACAGAGGAGGGAAARCTAATGTAGCTAATGTTAGCTTGTTGTTGCTTGGTAGCAGTGTTGTATAAAGTACCACAAAGTGATACTTGAGTAAAAGTACAAGTATCTTACCAAAAAATTACTTTGGAAAAAGTTAAAGTCTCCTTTAGGAATATTACTTGAGTAAAAGTCTTAAAGTATCTGATATTTTTTGCACTTAAGTATTAAAAGTAAAAGTATTGATTTGAAATGAGTAGTTAGATTTTCTGTAATGACCTTTATTAGGAGGTGACATCCCAAAAAAATGTAAAATGACTATATTGTATTAAAATAATAAATTTATGTTAAATTTAGGATGCACTAGTCCAGCTGTTTCAGTTTATATACAAACATATATCAAGGCTTCACAAACCTTTTCTCCAAAATGAAAATCTATCTGAGGGCTGCAGGTCAGATGCAATAATATAATTCATGAAATACAAATACTTCTTAAGTACAGTCCTTTTATTTTAATGATTATGTCCTGCTGGAGTGTGACATGATTTGTTTGTGTACAAACTAATATSGTATCAGAATTTTATATATTTATACTTTTCATTCAACCACAGTTAAATTCACTCTATCTAGGAGGCACAGTTTATATGGATAGAATTTTTTTTTACAATAACAAGCTGGAATGAAAACAAGCAAAAATAAAATAAAAGTAACGACTTCTTACCTTTTGCCTTTTTTTTTTAAATGTAAGAGTAGAAAGTACAGATAATTGTGTGAAAATGTGAGAAGTAGAAGTAAAATTTGTTGTTTGTGTTGTTCTTTTTTTCATGTACAGTGCCCTGAGACAACGTATGTTGTGACTTGGCGCCATATAAATAAACTGAATTGAATTKAACTGAATTGAACTGAATTGAATTGAAAAAAATAGTCACTCAAGTTAAGTACAGATACCCAAAAATTCTACTTAAGTACATTAACAAAGTATTTGTACTTAGTTACTTCACAACTCTTCTTAGTATCTAGTTAAACTTGTGTAAATAGACGTTACAATCCTTGCAAACGATTAAAATGAAGTTAATCTCATCTGTGTGAAGTAACCAACACAGTTAATGAACCCATCAGTGAGCAGCACTGAAAAGCAGCAGAAAAATTGGGCGGGGCAGGCAGAGCTGAATAGAACCGGTCTCGCGATTCTAGAAATCAGGGTGGAACTAGGGCATTAGGGCTAATGCAAACATGCTTAACCTGGGTCTAAACCCGGTATGGCCCCGGTGTTGCACTTCAAAATGGCCATAACTGAGAGCAGAGGGCGGTCCCCGGAAGTGATGTCAAAAATATTAAGTCTCAATAAAGCATGGAAACCAGTATGTGTGTGTGTGAGAGGGAGAGAGTGTGTGACAAAGGTGATGTGTGGGTGGTGTGCGAGTGAAACTTTGTGTGTGTCAGGAGAGATGTGGAGTTCAAAGAGTGGCGTGGTGATGGGTCACGGGTGTGTGTGTGTGGKGGGGTGCTCTGTTGACTGATGCTGAGACAGGACAGGGCGGTGAGGGGGGAGGAGAGGCGATCAGATGAGGGGTTCAGGCTCCAGAGACAGAAAGCAGCTAGATAGTGACAAAGAAMATGTGTGGGAATTGATTCATTTGTGGTGTTTTTCAAGGCGTCCAGTTACAAAGGCAGAACACGGCCAAAAAACATTTAAAAAATACTTTGTCGCTTCAGAAAATGTGCTGTTTACACAAGACTGTAGCCAGGAAACTGCAGAAGCAAAAACAAAGGACAGCTTCTCCGAGAGGGAAATAAGTGAGAATGAAAATAACTGCATATTCATTTTTTTCATGCAAACCTGTCAAAGATGTTCTTTTAAGACTTAATAAAATGGCCAACAGCAGAACAAAAAGATGACTTTTTATATCAACAGGCAGAAACAACTGYGATGAAGGAACCAGCCTTGATCAGAAGATCAAGTTTGAAACACAAAACCTGATGTTTTATCAGTGAGGACGACCTTGACTGGAGCTGCTTTGCAAAATAAAAACATGTTTAAAACATTATAATGTTCTAAATGTTACACTTTAGGGTGAAAGCAACACAATACAAGCCTTCCTGAAAACTTAATGTCTGTAGTTGAACATTTTTAATGACACTTTCAATTAAAGTTGCTCAAATAYTCCCAGAGCTGAGAATAATCAGACTTAATCACCACTTTTCATGAAGAATGAGCTGCTTCAGATTTGATTTTGTTTTTTGTGTACTTGTTGTGTTGTTSTTGTTTACCTCCTTTGTTCCAGCTGCTGCAGGACTCGTCTGCAGTCATTCCCAGAAGTACGCCAGCGACCTGCAGGACGATTCTGTCGACGAAGTCTCGCGGGAGGGCAGCGCAGTTTCGCACCGTTTCCACTCTGTCTCTGGGCTGGAACCTGGCTCCCCGCGTGCTCCCCGCGGCGTCGTCGCCCTCCTCATCCCCGCCGGCTTTGAYGCCTGACCTTTGAGCCGTCACCTCGGAGGAGGTCTGTCGGCTCCGGATGTAACGAGCTCGCCGCTGCTCGTACTCGGCCTCGTCAGAAAGCTCRTAGCTCCTCGACTTTCCCACCAGACACACCTGCAGCAGGAGCTGAACGTTAGCACAGCTCCAATAACTGCTGCAGACTGAACCTATTTCCTCCAAATCAACTATTGATCAACACCTGATCATGAACTGTCCTTTGATTATGCTGTTTTAGGCGCTGGCTGTTTGAACCACCTCTCGTTTGGATGTTTTTTTTTACATCATTAACTTTGTGTTTCTTGCGCCTGTTGGTGGAGCTTTTCCTCTACATTTCTGTCAGCACTGCAGAAATTATTTAAATTATTTAAAGGGCTATTTAAGGTTCCCTGTCTAAAACTACTTAGACAGGAAAAATTAATGATTTCCTAGAGTTGATTGTGAAAAGTTACAYGATTTGGAACCTGCGAGATCAGCTCTCATTGTTGAAGTTGCGAGTTAAAAATCGCGTCATTTTACTCTCAGCCTTGTGTCGCCTGCCCCACCTTGTCACAAGGCCTGGGCCGTGTGTCTTACTGGACTAAAGAAGGTGTTTGCAAAARCTAATCTCCCACCACCAGGTGACCATGTGCTGACTGCCGATYGACTGACCATCAGGGTTTCCTCCAGTGTATTATAGCCCTGGCTGCCCACCTACTTTMCCCCTCGCCAGGCTAATGTAGAGCCAGCACCAGCTGAGGGTTTTTTTGGGTGGGGTTTTTGTGCTACCAGAGGTTGTGACCAGAGGTCTACAAAGTACTTGAAAAAAATAACTAAGTAAAAGTAAAATTACATGAACAGAAAACGGCTTTAGTAAAAAAAAAATTTCACCGACGAGAAAACTACTCAAGTAAAAGTCATAAAACTGTTCACAAAATTTGGGAAAGTCAAAGTAAAAATACTTTTACACACTCTCTAAGAAATAAACGGTTAAATTTACTGAACCAAACTGGTTCCACTAAGCCAGGTTGGGTAAAYTGAGATACATATTTATATTCTTTGCTCATTAACCCAATTAGGCTTAGTGGAGACAGTTAACATGACTTTGTTGAGTAAATTCAACACTTCTTTTTTCAGAGTGCAGAAACATCTTCTTTCATGATGAGTTCTAACATACAGTATTTAATTTTGTAACGAGTAGCGATGTCCTGATCAGATACTCAGTAATGGTGGCAGATATGGACATTTTTTGAAAATCGGAYAGAATCTGATTTAGTCATGTGATCGGGCCGATCCAGTTTTCAGCATCATCATGCTTTACAACTGCCGTTAAGAAGTCAAGACGCACACAAGTATACAACCATGTCCACAGTGTGAGAACACTTTTCAATGGAAAACAATGATGCTGAAACTGCATCACAAACAGCTGTCTGTTATCCGTCATCGTTACTGTTGATCTGCTCAAACAAGAGTAGAAAAACTATTGACTGCAGCCGTGGTGCACATAAAAAACACCACCTGGATTCAAAAAGCTGCTTCTGTGTACATTTTGTGTAAAAAGAGTTTAAATATCAACAAATCTAACTAGAGCTACTATCATATAATYACACCAACATAGTTATTTACTTCACAACATGACTGGATCTTAATCCTTCACCTACACGTTTGGTGGACGGGATCCTCAGACAGTCCTCTTCTGTGTTGAAGCCACAGACTCTGCTGACCTCACTGATGAAATCAATGTATTCTTTATACTGAGACTTCTTGCTCTGACGTCTCTGGTACTTGGCGTAGAAGTCAAAGAAGCAGCAGGGGAGGACAAAGTAGCGGCAAGAGTAGGATGACCTGAAGTCATGAAAAAAAAAGAAAAAAGAAAGTTCTCAAGCAGTTCAGGAGATAAAGAACAAGCTGGAAATCATCGGCAGCCCGGACGAGCAGCCTGAGGCTCAACAGCGCCATCAGCTGACCCCCTCAACCCAGTTAACACACACACACACACACACACACACACACACACACACACACACACACACACACACACGGACATCACACATCAAATTCTGCCTATAATCTGATTCCAGAGATCAGCTGGCACTCGAGCTGCCGGCTGTGATTGTGTTTGGTGATGACTCGCCTGGCTGCCATAACGGGGATCCACGGTGTGAGCTCATCTGAGTGGTTCCCAATCAGCCAGTCTGTACCCGAGAATAAGAAGCTCTCGCTGGGAATAATTGCCTTTTCCTAAAATAGAGTAGACCACATGCAAAAAAAGAGCCTTAATGCTTAGCAGAGCAAAGATGTTTATTCACAATAACTGACTCCTAAAGAAAGCATTTTTTACAACAGATTTTTATTCATATATTTTTATTTTATCTATTATATTTAAATAAAAAGTGAAGTTAATATATATAAAAACATGGCGTAACTTTAAAAATGCCAGAAAAACAACCTAAAAGAGTGATATTTGAGTTGTTCTGGTTTTCTCTTTCATGGTAAAATGAAGCCCAAATGTAAAAACTTTTCAAAAAGTACAAATATCCCTGGTCTTGAGGGGCAGCAGACTCACCTCCAACGTGGTCTGAGGGCCGTACAGGTCCCAGATCCTCCTCCGGCGAACATCGACGCCCCGTCCGGGATGCTGCAACACGAGGCGGCGTTAGCGTTCGGCTGCTAGTCACCGCGCATCATTTCAATCACTCCTGTTTCACATCTGCATTTAAAGTCTCAGAGAGGAGCGGCTTTGATGTATTYAGCCCCTCATCTGACTAATCCTGTGTTATCGATTTGTCTGCCAGGAAGGATTAGTTTAAATCAAAGGAACAAGGGAGGCAGGATTTATCAGCCGCTGAACAGAATCTGTGATTTTTAAGCCTGAATGGCTCGACGGGAGAAATCTGAGATGTTTCTGGTTTGCAGTTTTTCTCCCCTCGGTCTGTGGGTCATTGCTGGAGTTTTTGTCACTAATGAGCTTATTTATGACTAATCTAAGTGGGTGTTTTCTTATTCATATGAACGRTTGAAGAAGAAGGCGTCCTTCAGTCTCTGTCAGATTTAACAGCTAAAAACAAATCAGCCTGCCTGCGCTCTTATTTTATTAAATTTCTCAAACCAAAAACACTGCAAGTTTCCACACAACCCACTGCTAACACCTTCACCACCTTGGTAGTGTCAATCAAGCAGGGATTTAATTAGACTTTTAATTAGGTTCTAAATTATTATTCCACAAAAACATACTTCAGACACCAGCTTCTATCACTCATCAGTGATCAGGTTGAGCAGAGAAACAGACATCGCTCTCCAAAGGTCCCCCAGAGGGACCCCAAGGCTAGAGATGATACACAWTCCTGAGTTCTGGGTCTGCCCCAGGAACGATTCTAAGCGGGACACGTTCAGAAAACCTCCAAAGAGACGCCTGATCCATCTAAACKCACTCGTTTTGATGCGAAGGAGCAGCATCAACCATCAGGAAACCACCCAGCAGGAGCTCGTCAGGGAGCACCTGGTGGTCGAGACCTGGCTACTGCRGCTCAGCCGAGTCGGGCCTGAAAGAGAGGCAGGGAGCTCTCTCCAAGTGGACCCAACMCCTGCGAGGAGGACCACTGAGGCTGGGTGTTGTGCAAACAGAGGGAGAGGCCTGTGTGGGTCCATGGCCAAGCCCTGGAGGTATAAACTAACTCCAGGAACATATTTCAGGGTTCCTACAGTTTCACGAAAGTTACATTTAAGACTTTTTAATGCCAAGTGAAATYWWATTYAAGACCAATTTCAYAATRAACACAAATGACAAAATAATAATAATAAAAATAATAATAATAATAATAATAACAAAAACTGTCAGAAACTCATGAATCAAAGTATTTTTGGTTGAAGTATTCAAATATTGCTAATAAACCAATTGTTTTTATCCATATCTAACTGCTATTTTGTCAAATGTGGCACAAGTTCTGAAAATCAGCCACTCTCCTCTTTTAGCTTTGCTGTGAGCTCTACCTAATGTCCTGTTTAAACAGGTTTCTATCGTTTAAAGGGTTTTGATCAATGTTTTTCAATAAAATAAGACTGGAACCTTAAAAGTGGTTTAACACCTGACAGTTTCAGGCTTTTTGATGACTGGAGATCAGCCAGAAAACTGAAATCGGTGCAGCCCTAGTTTAGGGTTATTTTCCTCATTTAAACCTGGGCTCAGCTTGAGGTTTTGATGAATACTGGATTTGACGACCCTCAACTTACCCCTTCATTTGTCAGTATGTGAACCAGGAGGCCATTTCCACAGCCGAGGTCCACAAAGGACTGCGGCGCCGTCAGGTTTCTTTCAGCTCTCTCCTCAGCCCACAGAACCTGAATTCACAGAGATGAGTCCAGTACTACGGTAAAGTTAGACAACCTTCAAAAATACTGCTTTCAGTAGACATGAACCTATTTCTTTTTTACAACCATGTTTAACACCTTAAACTGAAACTTAAACCAGGTTTGAACCCACCAGGAGATAGGTAGCGATAGCAACATCCTCAAACACAAACTTCTCTGGATCTGTGACCTCAGGCCAAACCTAGACAAACAAATCCACATCAGAMCATCCAGCGAATGACCAATCAGATCGCCTCAGAGTTTGCGCTTCCTTCACCTTCACCATGGCCTTGTACTTGTCCTTCAGCTGCTGGTACACAAGGCTGTACTTCTCCATGGGCAGCAGAGACAACGTGCTCCTRAACTCGCTGCTCTTGCACTCGGAGGCCCAGCGCACCAGTTTAGGCAGCAGGTCCGAGAGCAGCCAGGGCAGCTTGGGATAGGCGACGCCGTCAGAGAACCAGGCGTCCGACGTCAACACGTGCAGCTCCAAAGTCCTACAGATCAAAACAGGAAGACAATACAGCTGATGGCGGTGGGGCATACGAGTTGGAAACAGGAAGTTACGACTTGCTCTATGATGCTCCTGCAGGGTCACACGATGGGATTTTCAGCCTTTATTGGAAAAGCTAAATGTGTTTGTTTTCTTCCTTAGCTGTATTTGTTACATCTGGAATAATCTTGGTAAACGTAATACGGCAGGCCATTTAACATAAAATTGTCTTGACTAGACATATTGTAGTTAATTAAAATATCTCTAATTTTATATTCACTAGGCAAAATACCTATTTAAGTTATCTGTATTTACATTCTGACTATGTAGAAGAACAATTCAAGATATCTACAATGTTACCAGAAAGGGTCAAACATCTGTGATTACAACTGACCATATCTCAAACATGAGGCTAAAATGCTGCGTAAATCTGTGATTTCTTTTTACTATACAGAGCATCTATTCAAGACACCTGAAATAGAAAAGCTGTCTAAATGAAAACATGTTCAAGATATCTTTAATTCATTTGAAAATATCTTGAATTGATCTGATTAGTCAGAATWTAAATGCAGACATCTTAAATTACCATTCAGGATAGTCCAAATACAGATGTTCCAAGCCAAAATTTATTTTTAGATAGCTAGAATGTTACATATTACAGATAGTCAGACGAAGCTGATTTTATGTTAAAATGGCCTGCCATACATACATTTAAATAAAGAATTTTGACAAAGTAATAAAAACCGTAGCAAGTGTACCTTATGTGTCGTTTCAAATACACTATTTTGATATTTGTCTTCACATAGATTTGACACTTCAGACTCACCATTCCTCACATCCCTGACTGCAGAGCCTGATCTGATACACGTTGCCTCTCCTGAAGGACACTTTCCCTTCTGCATCCTCCTCAAATGGAAGAAAAGTCACTTGTTGTCTGTCAGAGTCTGAAGAAAAAAATATATACATAAAAACAGCTGAAAAAAATATATATATATATACTGTGTGTGTGTGTATATATATATATAC